TCTAAAGCACTAACTCAAATATTTAGGACCCTAATTCTAAAGCACTAACTCAAATATTTAGGACCCTAATTCTAAAGCACTAACTCAAATATTTAGGTCCCCTAATTCTAAAGCACTGAAAATTTAGAAAAAAGCTTGTCTAAAGCACTAATATAATCCAGCTGAACCATGAAACATTCTTTAGAGGCAACATGAAACAATATTTACTGTGTGCAGATTGTTGTCACATAGGCTGTGTCCAAAACGACAGACCGGGTCCTCTGGAGGACCCAGACTACCCGGTTGAGATGGGCCGGGTCCTTGGTAGACCGGGAAGACCGGAAAAAAAGAGTCTGAATCTGGACAGTCTAGCCTCCCCTCCACCCCGGCGTACGTCATGTCACCTAGCAATCATGACGACGCTAAACAGAAGCAAAAATAGATCAAAATTAGAAAAATATCAAAATATTAGCATTATTAATGTCTCAAAACAATAAAATTAACTTAAAGGTGACCTTTGAAGAACTAATTGACCCGCTGTGGGTGCATTTTTATTTCATGTTTTTTTATGATAAAAATAATATTTAAAAACACGTCCAAACATATGATAAAAGTATTAGAATTACATCCGCTAAAAAATTATAAATTTTATATCGCCATATTTTTATTTAAAACGTATTCTTTTCTCTCGCTTCGTCCACCATTACTAGCTTAAACAAATCTCCGGTTGGCCCACAATGCATTATGGGATATGTTGGACCAGGAAGGATCCATCAGACCTGTCCTTCGATTCGGGCCAAAGGAAGGACGTATTTGTCGGCCGCATCGGAGGAGTCTTCAGTTTTTGGACGGCCTTTATCGCGGCGCTGTGACGTATGYGGCCGACGAATTCGGCCTTCGGAGGACCCGGCCTGCCGTTTTGGATGCAGCCTTTGTGCCCTCAGCAGGCCAAATGGGAGTTACCTGCAGACCACATTTGGCCCGCGGGCCTTGAGTTTGATGTGACCTTATAGATGAGTGACACACATATGAACAAAATGTGTGACAGCTTTCACCCTCAACTGTGAACAACAGTGTTGATCAATAACATTTATAGATCTCAGTTAGTGCTTCTAGATTTAACAAGTGCTAATCCACGGATGATTCTAAAAAATAGAAAAGCCCTAAAGCACTAATCAAGAAATTAGTTCCCCTATTAGTGCTTTAGTGCTTTAGGGGAACTGTGCCCTATGCAGAGGTTTTCTTCATAAACACCACAGTGTGTCACAGTGTTGATTTAATATGATGTTTTTGCTTTTTTCCCCATCTTCCCCTGTGTGTTTGTTAGTTTTTCTGTTGTTCTGTTGTTAAGGTAGCACAACTGTGTTTGCTGCATGACCTGTCTTAACTGCCCCTCCCCCTTCCCTGAATGTACAGCACCTTGTGAATTTATTTCTGTGAAAGGCWCTATATAAATGCTTGCTTGCTGACAGACACCACTGGTGCTGACTTTAAATATTTTCCAATGCTTCCCCCATGTGTGTAGTAAAGAAACACTAACCTTTCTACAGATGTAGTCACCAGGACTGAAAACTTGAGGTCGAAGTTTTAACACCAACTCTACAAGAAGTCCTGCCTCACAGTCCTGAAATATACGCACCTAGTTCCACAGGAACATTTACACACACATAAAAACATTGGAGGAATAACTCAAGAGAAATATAAAMCAAAGCACAGCACAGCTCTGACAATAAAATATTACCGTCTACAACATTAAGCCTCATTAATTCAACTGTCTTTACCTTTTTCAGTGTGTCCAGGTGAACATTGATGGCTATTTCTGCTCGTAGTTTACTAGGCAAGCTCCTCAGCACTTCCTGTTCATCGACTGTCTTCTGATTGGTCCAGAGGTAGTCAAACCAGCGAATGACGCGCTGCTCCAGCACCTTACTGACGTGTCTAAAGTGCATGTAATGTTTGAGAGCGTCCACGCGAGTTTGGAAGGTGGCTCTTGTTGCGTTCATGTTGGAGATCATGGATCCAACGTTCCCGACTATGGATGCAAAGATTAGAACTCCAACCTGACGAAGGAACACCAGGTGAAGGTGKTTAGATACAGAACCATTGTAAGGCCTGACCATGACACTTTCTGTAGAAAAGGTTCTGAGAACTTACCAGAAAGTCAAATATCAAGAACAGGTACTCCTCATCTCTAACAGGAGGAGGTGTTTCTCCAATGGTGGTCAGTGTCAGAGTGGACCAGTACAGACAGTAAATGTAGCTTCTAGCCAGGGAGCCGAACTCCGGGTCTGATGCGTTGGGATAAACCCATGAGTCCGAGCCCAGTCCCAGGACTTTGGAGAAGCTGTAGTACCCACAGGCGTTCCAGTGGATGATGACCAGGATGTACAGGACCAGCTTCCAGATGCGGAAGGCGTTGGGGTAGCTTGTGCGTGTTTCCGTCCGTTCAAAGAACTCAAACAAGCGTGGAAGTCGCAGGAGCCGGTTGAACCGAAGAAGAGGAGTGTAACTCATGCCCACTGTGAGGTACAGGAGGTCCGTGGGGAGGATGGAGCAGATATCAAGTTTACACTGTAATGTCCGGATGTAGGTTTCTCTCAGACGACGCACATCTTTCACCAACAAGCCTTGATCCAAGAACCCTTACCACAGGAAGTAGTCCTGACAGTGTTAGGATTTTATCCAGAAAACAGAGGGCTAATGAAATAATGTCAGTGTAAAAATGTTTGAGTGATATCAGTACCTGTGTGGACACGAACAACAGTATCCAGAATATAAACTCCATCACAGATGTAATCCAGCACAAGCCACACCAGAACATTTGTCATCTGGAGTTCATCAAAACAGGCCCTTTGATGAAAATTATAATATTAACAATAATAATAAACAGCTAAAGATGTTGAAGTTGAAGTGTTAATACAACCCCAGTTTCAATATCGCCATTTGTATCATATTTGCTACGCAGGATTCTGTGACCTATATTTTATCAATGTGGTCAATATTTTCCTCAAAAACCTGTTGTACATCATGTGAGACCTGTATTCTGCCCTCTGGTGGATCATCAATGTACTGCAGGAAGTGGAACTTCTTTTTCTTTTCCTTTTCAAAATGTCTGCTGACATGAGGTCATCCACACTTTTTTTCAGGAAAACTTTTGCTAATTTTGGAGAAGTTATGATAAGAATAACATCAATATTGTTTGTAATTATTTTAAATAAATACTTTCTGTGTTGAATCTACAGAAGAGGATTAGGGC